GGGGGGGCCCGCGCGGGCGCCTGGCCCCGCCCGGGCCTGCCGGGCCCTGCACGCTCCCCCACCTGCGCGTCCAAGAAGGGCCCGACCTCGGCGCACAGCCCGCCGGGGACCCTCACCGTGCGCTGCCCGGGGCTCCCTGGGCGCCGTTCTGTGCCTCAGCTTTCTCGCCGAGGCGGAGGGCGAGCTGCATGGCCGCCCCACCCAGAGCCCGCGACAGCGACACTCACCATGTTGCCGGCGTCCCGCGAGAAGGAAGAAGGCCCGCCAGGTCCTGCGCATGCGTAGAAAATTGCTCCGCCCCCGGGGCTAACGTAACGCCGACGTGGGCGCCGATTGGCTGCGGCAGACGGACGCGCACGCATGCGCGCTGGGAAAAATGTGGCGGACCTACTCGGGCTTGGCGTCTTTTTCGCAGACTGTGTGATCAGGCTGACTACAGATCGCACGGGCGGTTTTGCGTCTTTGAGGACGTCAGCGTAAAGGGCACAGAAGCTTTTCCTTCTAGTGAAACTCTCCGTTAGACTTAATTCTCTATTTCTCCATCTTTTTTCCTTCCCGATTCTGTCTCGATGTTGGTGTTATTCAGGGCTTAGAAGGCGATCTTACCCTCTCTTGCGGTCTCTCGTGCCAGTAATTCTGTTAAATTTTTATTTTAAGGAGTCTCTTGTTTATAGAAATGTTGCTAAACTAAATACAAATAATTCCCGTAAACCTTTCTACATTCCAAAAGTGTTAAAAATTTACTTTGGGAGGGGGCAGGCAGATGGCCTGATGGTTACGTTGCTGGACTCCCACGTCCCGCGGTTTGAGTCCCGGACCCTGCGGCTTGAAACTCAGGCCTGCGTGCCCAGGATCCCCAGAGGAGAATGGACGAGAAGGGGTTGCAGCGTAGCCACCCCCACCCCCGCCAGGGGTGATTTCTCTCTTTCTGTCTCTTGCTCGCTCGCTCCCTCGCTGTCTCTTGGGTAAGTGGAGACGCCCTACATCAAAAACGTCTCTTAAAAAAAAAATTACTTTTTGGGACCAGCAGATGGCGCAATGGTTATGTCGCTGGACTCAGGCATAGTTGACCGCAGTTGGATTCCCAGACCCTGTAGCTTAAAGCTCACATGCGTGTGTGCCAGGATCCCGGGAGAACAGAGGTGAAAGGATTGTGGTATGGCCATCCCCCACCCCCTTGATTTCTCGCTTTCTGTCTCTGTCTCTCCAGTGAGCTCATGAGCCATATCATAAAATCTCTCCCTCCCCCCCCCAAATTTTTACTTTTCAGGACCAGCAGGTGACATGGTGATTAAGGTGTTGGATTCCCACATGGCAGACCACAGTTCCTCCAGACTGGTGACTTGAAAATCACAACAAAAACATGGATAAATAAATGTTTAAAAAATTTTATGTTCACTTTATCATCCTATCATTTTCCCCATGAACTGTTTGAAGAAAAATTGCAGAGTGTGTGCCTTTATTTCTACACTCTTCAATTTGTATTTAACAACAAAGATAATCTCTTCCATTACCCGCAGTTACCAAGATCAGGAAATTTACATTGGTACGGTACTAACATCTAATTGACAGTCTTATTGAAAGGTTAGCAGTTGTCCCACTTAACATCTTTTTTCTATTAAGTTTTGTTTTGTTTTGTTTTTTGTTTTGTTTTGTTTTTGCCATAGGGCATGTGCACTCACCAGAGAGACAGAGGCAGTGAGAGGGAAAGTAAAAAATCAGGGTCCACGGGAGAGGGCCAAGCTGTAATCCTTTCTCCATTCTCCTGGGGTTTGGGGCATGCACGCACATGTGCCTGGCATGATCTTAAAGCCCCAGGATCCTAAACACCACGTTTGGCCATGTAGTCCAGAGCCTTAACCACTATGCCACCTGCTAGACCCCACTATGTCTTGCAGCAAATGAGGGATAAAAAGATTTACTTTCTTTTTTTCTGGTCCATGATCTAATGGAATCTTATAAGTTGCTTTTAGTCTTTGTAAGGTCTCTAGTCTTTTATTATTTATTTTTTTAAAAAAGGTGTAACAATTTCCTGATCTTTCATGGTATTGACAGCTACTAAAGAGTACAGGCTATTTTGTACACTGTCAGAATATGAATTTGTTGGAGTTTCCTCATGGTTAGAGTCAGAGCAGGTACTTTTAGCAGAAATGCCCTGTCCTTGTTACATTTCATCAGAACACACACATCTCAGTACGGTGGCGTTCTCTTCCATCACTTGATTAAGAGGGTGATCTTGGTGCTGACACTTTCCACGTGTGTTTCAAGCCCTTCCTCTAAGCTCTGTACTAACATACCTTCCTGGGACTACTTGAGCAGCCACCTAAGTGACTTCTCTTTATTCTCTGCTCAGCAGCCAGACGGAGCTTTTAAAGAAGTCATTCCATGACATCACTTCCTATTCAAAACACTTCCATTGCTTTTCATGGTATTTAAAATGAAAAATGTTAGTCTGACATGCTCCTACATCCAAATACACCTTACGCCATCTCTTTCCTCTTCATTGTGAGCCAGCCAGAGAGGTTTCCAATGAGCCAGGCTCTCCCCCTCTGGCTTTTGTACATGGTATCTCTGCCAGGGCTGCTCTTCCCTGTTCCTACTCATTGTACAGCACTGGCAACTCCTCTATTCGATGTTTTTTCCTGGATATTTCTTCTGAGAGATTTAACCTACCATGCTTAAAAAAGAATAGGTTAATTGTTCCCCACTTTCCTAGCTAAGCTTGCTCCAGAGTTACCATGGTTGCGATTTTGGGACTTATTTTTCTACCCATTTAGGTTGTTGTGGTTTTTTGCTAATTAGAATAAATTCCACGAGGGCAGAGCATTGACCATCTATTTTTTTTTTAATTTTTATTAGTATTTAATCTCCTGATTGAGCTTGGTAAGGAACTCAATAAAGGGGTAGTGAATGGATTCCTGTTTAAGCCTTGGTGTCTTGTTTTATAATTTGCAAAGCAAGGGACCAGATGGTGGTGCGGCAGTAACATGCAGGCCGTGAGGCTGAGCCATGTGGGAAGGTTCCTGGTTCATGTCTAGAGACCTCCCTGAGCATGCTGGGCACACACATGCCCAAGATCCAGGGCTGGCTGAACCTGGTGGATTGTGGTGTGAAGAGTCTCATGAGGGTGCTTTTCTCTTTGTCTTGTTCAGTAGGGTAAGCAAATGATCTTAAAAAAAAAAAAAAAAAGTTTACAAACAAAAAACACAGATAATGTTTATAACAGTGCTTTGTGATAGTCCCACATTAGGACTTGAGGAAAGGCCCCTAAACAAGAAAATGGATACATTGTGATCATTTGGAGCAACTACATGGAACAAGATGGAAGGACGAATTTTACTGGGTGAAATAAGCTGACGCCAAAAGATGTGCTTCATGCTTTATATAAAATTCAAAACAGGCAAAACTGAGCTTGTTAAACAGAATAATGGTGTTTACCCTTAGTGCAGGCAGCAGTAGCTGGAGGGGAAGCCGTGGCTTCTGGGCCCCTGGTCATGGTTCTTCATCTGGATGTTGGCTACAAGAGCATTTTTAGCTTGGGGAAATTCAGTTATTATGATTTGCACATTTTTTCCCCAATGCATATTAACTTGAGTTTCTTTTCCTGGCATTACAGCCAAAGAACTTGATTGCAAGTTAAAGAAGAGGCAAGAGGAACCAGCAGGTGGTGTGGTTAAGGTGGCGGACTCCCACAGGGCCCACCCAGTGGCTTGAAAATCACGCCCTGCCCTGCACGCTTCCTAATCCCGAGAGGAGAATGGAGAAGGGATTGCGGTGTGGCCATCTCTCCTGGGGGTGATTTCTCTCTTTTTCCATCTCTGTCTTTCTCCAGTGACCGCACACGCTCTATGGCGAAAAATCTTTAAAAAACAAAACCAAAACGTAGAGGGCAAGAATCTGCATTTAAAAAGAACCCCTCGCCAGCTCTGCCCGCCCGCCCTGGTTCACTGAGCAAGTTTGGGACTGGGATTCTTCGTAGCGTTACAGAATTACTTTTCTAAAGTGCATTATCTGATCATGCTTAAAGCCCTCCAAATGTTCACTTTTATCCCCATCGTACAGGATAAAGTTCAAACTCCCTAGCGCGACATTCAGGGCTCCCCACGAGCCTCACCCCGAAACACCTGCCTAGCCCTTCTCCCCTGCCATTCTGCGTCTCCCAGCTCCATCTCGCCAAGATGCAGGACCCGAGGCTTTCCCTGGGGTCGAGTCCCCTCCTTTTCCAGACTGTGCTCCCCTTCTTACTCGCTAAACCGTAGCGCATCTAGGAAGAAGCGTTTTTAAGACCCCTTCCCAGGCAATTTCCAGACTTATCCCAAGCTTTTTTTATAACGGCAAGGTAGCTGTCTCCAGGCAAGCCTTGTCAGTGTCAGGAGGGCTCCAGCAGCTAGCCGGGAGCAGCTGCGGGGGCCAAAGCGAGAGCGTGCCGAGCTCTGATTGGCCGGGTAGCGCCTTCCCTTCTGCTTGTCCAATCACCGAGGCGAAGGGCAGTGAGGCCGACGCCAGGAGCAAAGATGGCGTCCTGGACCGGCTCTCTACCTGGGAGCCACGCCCTCGCCTAACGTCCAATCACCGAGAGGAAGGGCAGGGCGCCGGCGGCCCCTGCACGGACCTTGGAGGCCGAGGGGGCGCTGTTGGGAGATTTAGCGCGTACTTCCCTCAAGCCGTTTTGAAGGCGTGACCCCTGCTTCTGCGTGCGGGAAGGGGTGGATGTGAGGGGCAGGGCGGGCACCTGCAGGAGGTTAGCGCACCTGTAACCGGATGGGCTCCTGTGTTACTGTCACATTCCGCCAAATCGATGTGTCTTGTTTTTCTCAGTCACTAAGGATGGCGATGTCAGTTGCCAGACAAAATGTTTGGAGTCCGAAAGAGAAAAATCTCAAGCTTGCAAACGAAGTGAACCAAAAGTTTCCCAGAACCTTGACTTCGTTGTTCGTTTAAACTTCATGAGATGCGAACCAACCCTGATTACGCCCAAGTTGGCATACTAGCAGGACTACTTCGCCTGGTGAGCAGGTGCGCGTGCATTCAGGAGGGAAAGAAATGTGTTATAGCTGTTTGCAAACATATTTCGATCTTAGGACATCTGAGACTGAGCTAGACAGTATCCAAGACCACTCTTCCTAAGACCACCTGGAGGAGCCTGCGGTCAGCAAAGTCAGGGCTACTGGTCCTTATAGTGAAAGAGACTGCATGTCAGACACCAAGAGACATTAACTAAAGGAAAGAAAGTGTAGCAATAGGATTCTGGAGAAGTGTGAAGTTTAGATGGAATTTAAATGAAACTTACTTTTTTTTTTTTTGGAGAGATTTTTGCTATAGGGCGCGTGTGCTCACCAGACAGAGAGAGACAGAAAGCAGGAAATCACCCCCCAGCGGGGATGGTTACGCCGCAATCCCTTCTCCTCCATTCTCCTCTTGGGATCTTGAGCACCCACACACACGCGCCCAGCGTGAGTTTAAGCCACCGGGTCCGGGACTCGAACCACGGTTGACTACATGAGAGTCCAGCAACATAGCCATTACGCTAACTGCTGGTTCCAAATGAAACTTTTTTTTTAGAGATTTTTGCTACAGGGCGTGTGCGCTGGCCAGAAAGACAGAGAGAGAGAGAGACAGAACGCGAGAAATCACCCCCCAGG